TGAAGGCTTTAATTTTGAGGGAATGCCAAATTTAACTCTTCTAGTGCGGCCTTTTTCGCTGACTTGCAACTTTCTATTTGTCGGGTCGCTGAAGTCGGCATCTACAACTGACATACCACATAGCTGCTCAATTGACTTCCCGAACTTTGAGGGCCAGTGTATCACAGAGTTAGTTACTGTGATTCCTTGCGACCTTGCTATGGCACGAAAAGTGCAAAAACGCATGATCGCACCGGCTCGCCTGGTGTTTTCCAGCCTGGGTATGCGTTCAGGTTCGCGTTTTAACAGAAACTCGTGCATATCAATTCTGTAGGACTTCACTGCGTCATAGTTATGCCCTTCGGAAATGCAGAAGGCTGTAATAGTCCGAACGGTCATCTGGTTCATCTCAGCTCAGCGATTTAGAACGACACAAACCTGCGAACAAATAAGCGGATCACAAAAGCAAGCCTAGGCGAAAAAGTGAGAAAGCACTAACTGGGAAGGATACTTTGAAGTCAAAAACGAATATCTCTTTTTTATCTATCTCTCATAGATGCAGGAACTCAGTAACAACCCATGCAACATTATGCAAGGACCCTTAGTAACAACTCGTAGCAACCTATAATTCGCAGCAGCTTGTTTTTCCAAGAGTTGCATAAAATCAAGCTAGTGGCAGCATTGACTTCCTAGTATGCACCAGTGCCACTTTGCCATCGAAGCGAATCGTAGAGAGATTGGTTGTCTCATCGGAAAGGTAAAACCTTCGGCCCACTACACGACAACAGTGCTATCCCACTGCGCCATGCCTGCTGAAAAATGTACGAAACATCAACGAATTGGCTTTTCTATAAAAATTGACTTGACTTTTAGCGTGAAAGTGAGCTACTTTTTGTTGCAACGGAGCTCTTCCATATTAGCTAACAGGAATTGTCTAGGAGTACTGTGTTTAGTCGAACAGATGCTTCACTGCAAAAAAGCAGAAGTGTAAAATGCATAAAATTCTGTCGGTATAGTCTGCGTAAAGGGTTCCTTACCCGGCCCATGCAAAAAGCTTGTTTTATTAACCGGAGCGAGCCAGATCACATACAGAGCTGCAGGTAACCAATCTTGCTTCTACGGCATATTTTGCTTTTACATTAATCACCAGTTAGATTGAGTGCAAATTGTTTGATAACTGCACAACTTCTGGTTTAGACTCAGACACTTTATTATGTGGATTTGGCAAGAGATACCATAGGGTACATGTCTTTGGATGGCTACAAAACAGTGCAGACAGCACAAAATCATGATGTTCAAGGCACAGAAGGCATCGCCGTCGACTGGATACACAGGTAATTTCCGTACCTATGTGCAATAGGCACATCCCCGTCATTTCAGACAATATTTTTTTTAAGGTTTATCTCAGTATTATCAATATTCGACCCAAACACCTTATTTCTGTATGTCCTAGTAACATCGTCAAGGTGGGATCATCACATCAGTTGTTTGACTGTTTTGATTGTGGATTGCTAAAACGTCTGCAAACCTTAACAGACCATCGGCCGTTGAAAATAGCGCGGTAAAAAGCAAGACTGAGATCGAAATCATAATCGTTTTAAATTTTTTTTGTTCTTTTTTCTCACGATCCTATTTTAATCCAGTAGCTTTCGAGAATCGTTTAGGAATCTATACACTTTACGTCAGCACCAGTTGCATGTGCAGCGCCTAAATGGTCAGTACCGAACATCGCTGTACAAGGGACTATTTCGACTGCCAAGAGCCCTAGTCGCTTATCCTCAGACACGGTTTGTTTTTAAAGATTAAAGAATAAAAATAGTTTTCAGTAAGAAAAACGTGATAAGGCCATGCCAGCTAGCTGAAGTCCACTCTTCTAGGGGGAGGATAGGCGTGCGAAGGGAAGGAGAACGAGAAAACTGAAAGATTTCAGAATTTGACTCATTCTGTTTCCTCTTTCTTATTTAAAGCCCAGCTTCACTAGCTGTTTAATTATCATGTATTTTGTGCTGCAACAGTTGCACAAAACTTTTTTCGACCCTGTATGAGGGTGTCAGTGTGCGCGTACGTGTGGATATGTACAGAGTGAGCTTTATGCGGAATTTTTGACTAGGGAGCAAGAAAAGCTAGAAAGCCAAGAATTTAAAATATTTCAAGCGCAAGTTTGATCCCAAAAATTTAAACTCAGCTTTCACACACACTTGGGTCTCAAAGTGCAGGCATATGGGATTTTTGGTGTGGATTTTCCTGCCTTAGAAATCGACAAAATAAAAAGCGTAAATTTAGTTTAATACTTTCTCTCAATGTACAAATTTGGAACTTTCATCTTTCATGTACGCTTTTGAATCAGTTATGGGAACATCAAATTTTGCACGGTAAGCTTGTAGCTCGAAAGCCGGATATAACGGAAAGCTAAAATAATTGGAGGATGTTTTCTGTTCATGTGCGATCCTCGTAAATTTGAATCTAAGTCTCATGAACGGCTCAGTTTCACGTGGGGGCATGTGGAATTTTCGGAAGGAAGTTTCCGGAAAACAGACAGTATTTTGACTAAATCGGCTCAAGTGGGACTGTAGAGCAGCGGATATTCTCAATTCCCTTATGCGCCTCGCTATTTATTATGCATTTTGCTCTATTTAACAGCAGCACAAAACGCAAATTGTCACGGTGTTGTATGTTTGTGCGTGCGTCCGAAATTTTGTACTTCTAACTCGGGGACTACAAAAGCTACGCGGCTGAAATTTTAGCAGAGTGTTACCTACCAACGTCCGATTGGAGCCGATTTAGTGCCCGCGGATAACACATACGGCTCCGTGAAATTTTTGGCGCGGAGGTTATTATTTCGGGAACCATGAAAGCTAGGAAGCTGAAAGTAAACGAGAATGTTTCCTTTCCACGTGCAACACCGTAACAAGCGAATCCAGCGCTGATTCCAGAGGGAGAGTGGGGTTCCTGTGGGCCAGGGCGAGAAGTGGGGTTTTGACGGGAGAAGACGGGAGGTGGAGGAGGAGGACCCCCCTCCCACCTTGGAGCTGTGCAGAAACTACGAATAGAGTTGTAATACTGCTTTTCTCCTATAAACCCCGTAAATTCAAAATCAGTTTTCAGTTAAACTGGATTTTAATTATGCCGCAGTGAAAGTTTCGGTAGGAATAATTACTATCTAGGGAACCATAAGAGATAGAAAGTTGGAATGAAATTTTGGAGGAATACGACGCTGCAGAATCATATTTAGTTTTCATGTATATCCGGGTCTCTTGTCCAACTCCGCGAAAGTTTCAGTGGGGAAAATTGTTATCGCGGGGAGCTGCAGAGCTGTGAGGCTGAAGCTACAAAAGGATGTTTTCTGCCTGTTTCACAAATTCAAAATTAATCCCAATTATGCCAACGTCTTATGTTTGATCCCGTGAGAGTTCTGATGCGAAAGCCACTAGCTCGGAAGCCGGAAGGCTGGGAAGCTAAAATTCGGAAAGATGCCTCCCACCCATGTTTTCAAATTAAACTTTCATGCCCCAGCATGTGAAATTTTCAGTGGAAATCCCCCACCTTAGAAGCCAGACAGGAGCCAGACATATCTACCATTCTTCCACATATGAAAGTGTAAAACAGTTATATTTTTAGTAGGCAAACGTTCGCTGGACAGGACTGCGTGAAAAGCATGATCGCATCGGCTACTCTGGTGCGTGTCACCATTTATCCACTTCATGCAGCATCCAACGGATGTTTTAACTTTTTTGAAGCCACGCTGGCAGGCATTGTACAGTAACGCTGTTGTCGTGCAGGAGGTTGAAGGTTCTACAACACCAACAGGATGTTCAATCCCTCCACGATTCGTTCATCCTTTTGATGGTAATTTTGTAGTAACATGTGAAAGAGAGAGCCAGATGAGTTAATTCCGAAATCAGCTGATAAGTTGCTTTTTAGGGATTTGTTTGCGAGCGATTGGAGCGCAGAACCATTTATAGTACGCCTTGCGATGGACGGTAGCAAAGCGGAAAAACTTATTGTGGAAGAATTGGTGTGGCCAAACGCGCTTGCTGTGGATTATTTCGCGGAACGTCTGTACTGGGCCGATGCTTTCCGCGACGTTATCGAGTTCGTTGGTTGCAGGCATAATTTGTCATAATCAGCATGAAGATAGCTTTTAATAGTGAAGGGATAGCTCTTGGTATCAGATAACGAACACGAGCTGCACTTTTGCTTATTTTTACATCAAGCTTAGAAGACTTCAACTTCTTAACTTGCCTAATTGTTGAGTTGAAAAACTCGGAATAATATCGGAGCATAACGTACATTACACACTCATATGTATATATATATATGTGGTGAGCGTGCATCACACACACATATATATTGTATATATATATATATATATATATACAATATATATGTGTGTGTGAT